CGCAGCAGGCTGCGCTGGTGCAGGCCGTGTGCAGGCGGCTGCGAGGCGCGGCGCGCACGGCGACGGCGCGGCGGCCGCCGAGCGCACGGGGCCCCCACGAGGCGCCCCACGGGCAGCGGCTGCGGGCGGGCCCCCCCGGCGGCGCCCCCGCGGGCCCGCCCGCGGACCCGCGGGGCGGCCGCGAAGCGCCCAAGGGGCGCCCAGGAGGCGCCCCTTGGGCGGGTGGCAGCGGGCGAGGCCTCGGCGGACTTCCCCCCCGCCCATACGAGGCTGATGTGGCATCACAGCAGCAATTCGGCCAATGACTTTCGTCCTGGGCTCGGTTTCGTGAAGTAAAGTATTTCGGGGTCTGCACGTGGGAAAAACATCACTTCACTAATCTGGGGCCCCTGCGGCCTCAGTGGGCCCTGGGGCCAAAATCAGTGAAGTGATGGTTGTCGGGCCTCGGACCCCAGCGCAGGAGGCGCGCGCGGTCAGGTCGGCCATGCGCCTCCGGCAGGCGGCGCCTGGGCGAAGGATGGGAAGCAGCCAGAAGAGGCTCGACCTACACCGGACTCACTTCTATAGCGCTCACTTCTATAGTGCTCACTTTGAAATTGTGGTCCGGAAGGGGCCGCACATGCAGGCACATGCCGCACAGTCGCATGCACATGCCCATGCAAGTATACAAAAGCCTCAACAGCATTGCCGCACATGCGCGCACATGCCACTCCGTCCGACGCACAGTCGAATGCACGGTCAAGCAAAACTCTGAAAGCATAGACGCACATGCCCGCACATGCCGCAGAGATGTCGCAGGCGATAGTGGCCTGACCACCTGAGCTCGGGGCATTTCGCAACCCAGAGTTCCGAGGATGTCTCAGGCAAGCGTGGCCGGATCACCATGGGGCAGGGCATCTTGGAAACCAGAGTGGCGAGGATGTCGCTGGTCAAGGTGACCAGACGACCATGGGACAGGACACCTCCGAGGTCTGAGTTGTGAGGATGTCTCAAGCGAAAGTGGCCTGACCACCATGGGGCAAGAGATCTCTGAGGTCAGAGTTGCGAGGATGCCTCTGGGGAGAGTGGTCTGACCACCTCAGCCCAGGGCATCTCGGAGCCCAGAGTTGCGAGGATGTCTCAGGCAGGACTGGCCTGACCACCTGCTCAGGGCATCTCAGAACCCAGAGTTGCGAGGGTCTCAGGCGAAAAAGGCCGAGACACTATGGAGCAGGGCATCATTGAGGTCAGAGTTGCGAGGATGTCTCAGGCAAAAGTGGCCTGAACAGCTCAACTCAGGGCATCTCGGGCGAGGATATCCAAAGGTAAAATGGTCTAACCACCTCAGCTCAGGTTGCGCGGCCTCCCGAAGAGAGGTTGCGCAGGCATGTGCGTGCATGTGCCGATGACAGATCTGCGATTCTCGAACACCTCCCGCATGTGCAGGCATGTGCGCGCATGTGCGTCGGACTGTGCGTGCATGTGCGTATGATGGATACATCAAAACACAGCGCACATGCCCCCGCACATGCCCGGGCACGACGTGCACAGTAGGAAGTCCATCCAAGAAGGACCGCACAGGCCTGGCACATGACTGGCACATGCCGCGCACATGCGCGCACATGACAGCGCAAAAACGGCCGCACATACACCCACCCAGGGGTATAGATGTGAGTGCGGTGTAGTCGAACAGTCCAAAACTGATCCAACGCAGATGGACGTGCCCGGCTTAGGCGTGCGGGGGAGGGGGGGGGGGGTGCACCCGTCGGAACCGCGACTGGCCCCCTCCCAGCGCGCGCGGCGCTAAGGAGTCGCGACCCTCGGGCGCCTGCGGGTGGGCACCCACGCGAAGCCTCGGCTGGCCAGTCCAATCCTTACAGGGCACTTTTCTTAATACATAGGGTTTTTAAAATATAGGATTTGTGATACATGAATAATGTATGAATTCGCCGGCCCAACGGGCCAGAGGCGTGCTAAGGTCTCCGGTAACTGGTTAACAGTATCTCTAGTTCGCGCGCGCGGGGCGGCCCCTGGGGGTCCCCGGACGAAAAGTACCCCGGGCGATCCCCGACCGATCCCCGGGAGACTCCCCCAGAGCGCTCCAGGAGCGCTCCAGGAGCGCACCAACAGGGCTCCGAGACGTCCCCGAAACCCTCAAGACGGGTCCAGATGCCCCCAAGAGGCTCCCAAGATGGTACACAAGGGGTCCGACATGACATGCCACAAGATCGCTCCAAGACGCCCAAGATAGCCCCCAGACGCCCCAAGAGGCCTCCAAGAGCACTCCCAAGAGGGCCCCCGGAGGCAAAATTCATTGTTTTTCCTTGGGTTTTTGAGAGATTCTGGAACTTCCACCTTTTTGGCTTCCCGACGCCCCAAGACGGCCCAAGAGGCCCCCAAGATCGCCCCAAGAGGGCCCACGAGGCCCCCCCAGAGGGCCCCAAGATGGCCCAAGAGGGCTCGAAGACGGCCCAAGAAGCCTCCAAGACGGTCCAAGAGGGCCCCAAGAACGCCCCCAAAGGGGCCCCAGAGAGGGAACACCAAACAACATTTCGAGCCCTCGGCCCTACGAAGCCCCTACGAGGCCCCAAGAGGCCCCTAAGAGGCCCCAAGAGGCCCCCACGAGGCCCTCAGGAGGCCCCCAAGACTCCCCCAAGCGGCCCCAGGAGGCCCCCCCAAATGCCCCCCCGAGCGCCCCAGGAGTCCCCCAAGCGGCCCCAGGAACCCCCAAAGCGCCGCATTGACACCAGGCCCTCGGGCAAACGGCAGACATGAGACTGTATGGGCCGGCGGAATGAGCGAAGCGATTAAATAAATGTATGCATGAACTCATCGTTGTTTTTAGTACTAAATCCATGCAGTTTCAATACATGGTCCGCACGCGGAGCATGTATTCAAAACGGCACTGTACGAAACTGAAATGGGAAAGAGGGGGGAAGAAGGAGTGTAGGACGGAACGCGGGGCGATGCGTACTTAAGACGAGGGCCCAACACCACAGGATGGCTGGACAAAAAAAAACGTGGAGGTCGCTTCGCGACGCGAGAATGCAAGGGTGGGAGCAGATCCGCGTGGGTCCCAACACAGCCTGTGGGGATTCAGATCCGTCCGAACCTGTGGAATACGATGTGCGGCTGGTCTCGCGGGGAATAAGAAGAGACTCCCCGTCTCCTCCTCATCATCATCACCACCACCATCATCACCATCACCATCACCATCACCATCATTATCACCATCGCCACCACCACCACCATCACCATCAGCATCACGATCATCAGCAGCATCATAAGTTTCAGCATCATCAGCAGAAGCAGCACAATCATCATCACCAGCAGCATCAGCATCGTCATCATCATGCATCCATCATCATCACCATCAACATCATAATCACAATCATGATCAGCAGCATCATCAACATCATCACCAGTACCAGCATCATCAACATCGTCATCAGTATCGCCATCAGTATCAGCATCATCATCACCACCGCCATCATCATCACCAGCATCATCAGTATCATCATCGGCATCAGCATCAGCACCAGCGTCCTCATCAACGTCATCATCATCATCATCATCAGCAGCATCATCATCAGCATAATCATCAGCAGCAGCAGCATGAGCATCATCGTCGCCATCGTCATCATAATCATCATCACTGGCAGCATCATCATCATCATCACCGCCAACGCATCCTAGCATCATCACCATCAGCATCCGCATCAGCACCCGCATCATCATCATCATCATCAGCAGCATCAGCATCAGCATCATCATCATCATCATCATCAGCATCATCATCATCATCAGCATCATCATCATCATCAGCATCATCATCATCATCATCATCACCATCGCAATCATCATCATCACCATCGACAGCATAATCAACAGCACCGTTATCATCATCAGCACCATCATCCAATTCACGGTCATCATCAGCAGGAGCAACATCATCAACATCATCATCATGATCCGCGTCATCAGCATCATCAGCAGCAATATCATCAGCACAATCAACAGCACCAACAGCATCACCACCATCATCAGCAGCATCAGCATCAACATCAGCATCATCAGCATCATCATCATCAGCCGCATCAGCATCATCATCATCAGCAGCATCAGCATCATCATCGACATCATCATCACAATCATCATCATGATCATCATCCTCATCATCATCAGCATCAGCATCAGCATCAGCAGCAGCACCAGCATCATCAGTATCATCATCGGCATCAGCATCAGCACCAGCGTCCTCATCAACGTCATCATCATCATCATCATCAGCACCATCAGCATCATCATCATCATCATCATCATCATCATCATCATCATCATCATCATCATCATCATCATCATCATCATCAATCATCAATCATCATCACCATCATCATCATCATCATCATCATCATCATCATCATCATCATCATCATCATCATCATCATCATCATCATCATCATCATCATCATCATCATCATCATCATCATCATCATCATCATCATCATCATCATCATCATCATCATCATCATCTGCAGCATCATCATCATCAGCAGCATCATCACCCTAAGTAGCGTCATCACCATCAGCATCAGCAGTATCCTCATCATCGATATAACGCATACTCATCATCACCCTTCTCCGCATCCCCCAACTCGCTCCTCCCCCATCTTCTGCTTCTTCTCTTCCTCCCCCTCCCTCCCTCCCCCTCCTCCTCCCCCCTCCCTCCATCCTGCTCCCCTTGCCCTCCCCTCATTCCCTCCCTCCTCCCTCCTTGCCCTCCTCCTCATCCTCCTCCCTCTCCATCCTCTCCTCCTCCTCTCCTTCCTCCTCCTCTCCCACCTCCTCCCCCGACCCTCCCCATCCCCCCCCCCCCTCCCCATTTGCCCCCCTCCCCCCCCCTCCCTCCCTCCTCCTCCTCCTCCCCCCGCCTCCCTCCTCCTCGCTCCCTCCCTCCCTGCCCTTCCTCCCTCCGAGGAGGCTCGCGGAGGGAGCACGGCGCGCGGAGGACCGAGGCGCGCCTGGCACGCGAACAGCAGCGCCGTCCAGCCCCCCGCCGTGGCCGAGTCGGGCGGCGCGCGGGCGTCCAGCAGCAGCCGCAGGGCCTCGCGCCGCGGCGCCGCCGGCCGTCGGATCGCTCGCCGCTCGTCGCTGGGGCGCGTCGGCGCCGCTCGTCGCTCGTCGTCGCGGCGCGGATCAGTTCTGTTCTTGTTCTGGCGGGGGCAGATTACCAGCCTCGGACGTGTCCCTATCCCTAAGATTGACACGCCCAAAGGCGATGACAATCTTAGGGATTAGCCCTCACAAATGAGGGAATCGCTAAGATTGGCATCGTGACGAGAAGGTGCCCAGCATAAGGATAGGGATACACCGGACTCACTTCTATAGCGCTCACTTCTATAGTGCTCACTTTGAAATTGTGGTCCGGAAGGGGCCGCACATGCAGGCACATGCCGCACAGTCGCATGCACATGCCCATGCAAATATAAAAAAAACCTTAACAGCATTGCCGCACATGCGCGCACATGCCACACCGTCCGACGCACACTCGAATGCACGGTCAAGCAAAACTCTGAAAGCATAGACGCACATGCCAGCACATGCCGCAGAGATGTCGCAGGCGATAGTGGGCATTTCGCAACCCGTTCTCTAGAGCTGCAGAGGATGTATGCAGGCAAGGCGTGCCGGAGACCACCATGGGGCAAGGTGACCAGACCCAACATGGGGAAGGTCACCGCCGAGGTATGAGTGTAGAGGATGTCTCAGGGCGAAACGGCGTATGACCACCCATGGGGCAAGGAGATCTCTGAGGCCCAGAGTTTGCGAGGATTGTCTCTGGCGAGAGGTGCGTCTGACACATAAGCCAGGGCGTTCCGGAAAACCCGGGAGAGTAGAGTGCCCGAGGATGTCTCAGGCAGGAGTGGCCTGACCACCTGCTCAGGGCATTTCGAAACCCAGAGTTGCGAGGGTCTCAGGCGAAGAAGGCCGAGACACTATGGAGCAGGGCATCATTGAGGTCATAGTTGTGAGGATGCCTCAGGCGAAAGTGGCCTGAACACCTCAACTCAGGGCATCTCGGGCGAGGATTCTAAAGCGAAAGTGGTCTAACCACCTCAGCTCACGGCGTCTCGGAACCCAGAGTACCGAGGATGTCTCAGGCGAAAGGGGCCGAGACACTATCGAGCAGGGCATCATTGAGATCAGGGTTGCGAGGACGTCTCAGGCGACAGTGGCTGACCCATTCGTAAGATCGGGTGCTGCCCCACGACCTCGCGCAAAGCCTTGTGAAGGTGGTGCAGTAATGCCTTGTGCACCTGGTCGTTCCAGCATTGTTCCGGCGTGCCGCTCCTGCCGGCGAGCGCGGGCAGGGCGAGCGCTGCGCGCGCCTGTGCGGAGCGTGAGCGGGGCGCCCCGTCTGTCGGGGCCGCGCAATCAAGCGAACGCTCGTCCGCGCGCGGCTTGCGCGCGGACGCGAACGCGCCGGCGCCCGGAGACGAACGCCGGCCCCGGCATTCTTGCACGTCCCGCACATGCCCCGCACAGGTACGCACAGTATTCGCACAGGCCGACCTCGCCAGTGGCCGAGCCAGGCCAGCGATTCCGAGATTCCATGAGCTCGGGCCGTCAAGCCATTTTCGCCTGAGACATCCTCGCGACTCTCACCTCCTCCTCCTCCTCCTCCTCCTCCTCCTCTTCCTCCTTCTCGTCTGGCCGAGCCGAACAGGCGGGCGGGCCGGCCGAGCCGGGGGCGTCCGCCTCCTCCGCCCCCCCATCCTTCCCCCCCCCTCCACCTCCCCCCCCCCCTGCTTCTCCGGCCGAGCTGAGAAGGCGCGCGGGGGAGCGTTTTACTAGGAGGGCACGCCGCCGCCAGCTCACAAACCGGGCGAAGAACCGCCCCCGCCAGCAGCGGGCGAGTCTAAACGCACAACAAACTCTTTCAGGAAGCCCTGGCACGCCCCAGGCTAGCTCTGCGAAGGCCAGGAGGCATTGGAGGCACAGGGGTCCCAGACAGCTCCTAGGGCATGAGCGTGCATGTGCATTGGGATGTGCACGCATGTGCGCCCGCGCGCTTCACCGCATGTGCGTGCATGTGCGGGCCCGCGCGGCCTCCCGAAGAGAGGTTGCACAGGCCTGTGCGTGCATGTGCCGATGACAGATCTGCGATTCTCGAACACCTCCCGCATGTGCAGGCATGTGCGCGCATGTGCGTCGGACTGCGCGTGCATGTGCGTATGATGGATACATCAAAACACAGCGCACATGCCCCCGCACATGCCCGGGCACGACGTGCACAGTAGAAAGTCCATCCAAGAAGGGCCGCACAGGCCTGGCACATGACTGGCACATGCCGCGCACATGCGCGCACATGACAGCGCAAAAACGGCCGCACATACACCCACCCAGGGGTATAGATGTGAGTGCGGTGTATGTTCCAGGCTGGTAAGGAGAGGCTCCCACCACGGCGTGGCGAGCACAGGGGCGTGAAGCAGAAGGCCGTCGGGCAGCGGAAACTGGCCTGGCGAAGGACCCGAGCACATGCAGCGGTGAGTCCCACGCTGTGGATATCGCGTTCGATGAGCTCCCTACGAGGCTACGAAGCGCGTGAAGGGTGTGCCGCAATGGGCGGGGGAGACGCATGCGGCCGCGGCCCCTGGGCCGATCGGTGGATCTGCCTAAGCGGCAACGAAGCGTTGCAGTGGGCGGGGGAGACGCATCCAGCCGCGGCCACTGGCACCATCGGTGGAGCTCCCCACGGG